GACCAAAATATACATCTCTATGCAACATACTGTCTGTGGGAAAGAACAGCAATAGCAGTGGGAAAACATACGCCTCAAAGTTTGTTGGGCATGCATCTCAAAAGTTCACATTAAGCTTCAATCTGTCTTTTTTGTGTCAGAACATGCTGTCTTGTTTTGCTGCAGTGTAGTCCTACAGTAAATATCTCTGGGGTTTTTGGTATATTTTTTGTACAGCAGCAGATGGCTGGGCTGCAGAGTACAGTCACCGCTCTCTCTAGCAGATCTTTGTAATGTGAGGAAGCAGCGAGGGACTGCTAGCTATCCTGCCATCACTTCCAATTTGGCTACAGCCAAAATAAACTACACAAGCCTTGCAACTAGTTAGTGTTTGATGATAATAAATAGCTACATTTCTCAGGCCTTGTCTCAACTTTATCCCCGGTTTTTATACTTGGATTAGTCTCCAAAGTTTAGGGATGTAGCGCTTTTGTAAGAGTACTGTTATTCTTCAGTGCAGATGCATTGCACAGTTTAATATACATGCATATAATGTGAAGGTAGAAGGTGACCTTTAGGGCAGTGGAGTTTATTTATTACACATTCTCTCTCGGGAAGCTGTGATGTTTGTTACTGGGAGTTTTGGGGTGTTTGGTGCTGTCCAAGACACTTATAATCACGCAAACCCACAATTTGCAAGCACAAGTCTTTTCTTTTGAGCACATACATAAAGTCATGCACATAAGCCATATATGAGCTACAATAACAGACACCCACAGTGACAGGAAGACTATATTCACCTATTCATATTTCCACCCATCCAAAACCATTTGGGATTATATGGAGGATGGCTTAAAATTCGGATAGGCTACACTTTTTTTTATATTCCTGTAGAGTTGAATTATTAGATTGAAGTTGAATAATAAGCACTGAGTCAAACAGCACACCCTTCATCTGCGGAGCTGTAATTAACGGGGGCAAAATGCAGGCGGTGGCGAAGGAAAAAAAAATGCAAATTATTCTGCACAAAGGCTCCTCACAAATTGGCGTCACCATTTCTCAAATTATATCATTACTATATTTTGAAAATGTTAATCTGTTGAGCGGATTTCCCGGGGGAGTTGAGTAAATTAGTTCTATTTCCGAGACTGCCTCTCTGCAAAGGCACGGCAGCGACAAGCACCTCTGATTTGCTGATTACAATTAGACTCCCCAGTTTGGGCTCCTTCAAGCATTGATAATTTTCGGCATATTAAGCACGTTTTAGCAAAGGTGATAAGTCAGTTTTAATTGAAATGAAATTATTATTCTAATGGAAGTTTGGTTATTATTATTAGGAGGCACTAGTCATTCTAGCTTCATTTTTAATATATAAATGCTGGGGAGTAAAAAAAGATTTTGAAGGGCATTAGGGTGTCAGGATTGAATGAGGTAATTTGAAGGGAATTACTTTCTCTTCTATCAGAAATGAACTGAATTAAAAGTCCAAATCAATCGCTTTCACTTCTCCATTCTACTTTGACAGCGGCACAATTACAGATAATTAGATGGGAGGAAACTTTTAATTGTGGGATTAGAAGGAGAGAGAATTTGTAGGATCAGAGGAAAATTTCGAGGCAGAGTTTCTTGCTTAAAATCGAATCAAAGGATTTGCGAGCTTAAAATGGCAACCAAGCTTTTTTTCTGCTGTTTAATTGGAATTGCATCTAGTTCATCCAAATCATCCAAAACAATTAATTTAGATTTAATTCTATAATTATCATCAAATCGAATAATGTGCAACCTAATTTAGATAGTTAAAAATTAACGTGCGTGAAGTTAATTGAGTAATTAAACTCCTAAACTGCTGCCTATTAATTTGCCTGCCTAATTAAAAATGAATTTGATTCTGTGCTGTGCTAAAGTAAGCATCAGTGTTGGATGGGCGTCTTGATAAGGCCTGTGTCTTATTTGGGGTTGGGGTGTATCATTTGAACACCTTTATTAAGTTGGCATGCCTATGAAATTCAGCTATCTGGAGGCAGGTGAGTGTGCTGCTTCAAAATCCTCTTAGGGGACTCACAGCCAGACAGACAAACAACACAAAAAGTTGGCATTAAAGAGACTTATTTAGGGAGGGAAAAGATAAAGTGTGAGTAGAGGTGGCTGACTTCTGTTTGTTTAGCCCCATAAAGAAACTTTGATGGGTACAAAGGGTCCAGACAATGTGTGTTAATTGCTGTAGACTTTTGAACTTTTGATTAAAGTATAAGTGAATGAATGAGTGTGGAGAGTTTGTGTGTGTGTGTGTGTGCGCGCGCTAGGGGATTTCCATGTGCTCCATCAGTGCCACTGCTGTTTTTCCTCACCTAATTCATCACTGTGGTTGAGTAGAGACTTACAGCCAACACAAGAGCGCTCCTAAGTGATTATACAACTTTTATCACACTTAAACGATAAAATACACATTAAGCTTGAGGCTAAATTACCCAAAAAAACCAACAACAACAACATGTGTCTTTCTCTGGGTATTAAGTGGTCAAAAGCATCTTCTCATTATAGATGTAATGTATTCTCCAGGCTTCAGTGTGTGTTACTGGTCAGACTATCTTTCAGTCACTCTTAAGAATGACTTTAAATCTATCTCTGAAGGGATGCAAAGGGCTGGTTATCATCCAAAAGGTGCTTGAGGTGAAGGGTTACAACTGACAGCCTTGAGCTGAAAAACAGCTGCACACAGTGAAATATTAAATGGCTGCAAATGTAATAAAGTTTTATTTTTTTTAGAAAGGTTTAGAAAGTTGCTTTCAATCATTTTCTTTGGAAGTCCAAAACACTTTACATTTGGTCATACGTGTATATTCAAATATTGTTCCCCCCATTTTCCTTCTAAAGTGACATGTTACTTTGCACACCTATTTTTTGTACAACACAGAAAGATAAAAACACTCAACCACTTATTTGTCCTGGAATTCATCTCCTTCACTGGAAAGTTAATCAATTAGTCTATAGGTCATGTGCTCTTATTGATTCACCTGAACAATAGGCTACATAAGTGCAATAAAGAGATGTGTCCAGCTGCAACAAACAACTCACAATGAGAAGAAAATGTATTTTCTTTATTATTATTTTATTTCCTCTGATTTTCTGCCAAAAGGGCCAGTTATAAAAAAGGTAACAAGGCAGGGCAACAGCGCGGCTGAATGCTGGCCTTGTTCGCCTTATTATCGGGTTAATTAAAGCTAGAATCTGACAATGTCACCCGGTTGTAGAAAAACGGATTTAAATGCACAGTCTCTGGAGACTGTGTCAAGGGCTGCCTTTCACTGAGCTCCTGTGTGCGGCCGAGTTGGGGACAGCCTATATATGCTTGAAATGACGAAAAGCAATTATTGAATTTTAGATGTTCAAAAAGAAATGAATGGGGAGGAATTATTCATAAGATCTTGTCCGGGTGCGTTAAAATTAAAGTTAAAATACAAAGAAGGAAACGCTTCAAAGACGAGCACACTGCTGCTGCTGCAAAAAAAAAAGGAAGATGGATAAATAGGCGAGATCATTTCTGAGGAGTTCATTAAAATGTAGGGCTACACATTGAAATACAGAGGGTTGTTATTTGGGCTTGGGGGTCAAGTGACGAGCGGATTATATACTTCCTCATAATAATATTAATTAAACAATTTGCATGCTAATAGGGTAACAATTATCGCAGCTTCTGTTGAGAGATTCAGGTTATTACAACATGCCAATCCGGGTGCCAAGGGTCAGGGAATGAGTGGGGTGCGAAATTTCAACTCTGATTAACATTATGACAGCGCCAGACTGGGGATAAATAAAGTCGAATTAATTATTTGAAAACCTAATGAGCAGATAGGATTTAGGCTAGTCACATATTGAGTGCAGGGGTTGCACAAGTGGAGGAGCTTTCCAATTTGGTTTCCTGACAGGAAATGTTGTGAATGCCTCTAATGTACATATGAGGATGGCATTTTGTCACTTTTTTTATTCTGTTATATTGAACTGCCCCTGTTCTTGAAGTAGTTGAAGCCTCCCTTTATTTGCTCATATATTTTGTTCATAACACGGCGTTGGTCGTAACTGAGGCTTTCGCTTTGTAACAGTAAAATATTATAGTTTCTCTTTCGCTGTGTGCCTTCAGCAATATATTCCCTTTAAACGCACTCATATTTCACCAATCACCCTATTTGTTTTACGGCCTGCGTGTGAACCTACCTGACTGTAAAGGTTTAATGTATTGAAATGATGACCCATAACTAACATGGGGGGTCATCCTAACTCAGTGGTTCCCAAAGTGGGGCTCAGGGACAACAAAGGGTCCCACAGTCCAAAGAAGGTTGCAGACATCCCTGGGGGAAAAAAAAGGAATAATTTAATTCATCAATATAATATCAGTTATTATTGTAGCTTTTCCATTTCTGATCAGCTTTCACCCTTTTTCTGCTACCTGCCCATGGCATGCCAATATCCAAGAATACATAAAATAATACTGCAGAAAAAGATCAAAATAATAATAATAAACAGCCATGGCTTTAACTTGAATAAAGTATAATCATTTTGGTTGTCTAATCTGGTTAGACATCCATCTATTTGCAGGTCCTCCGCTGAACAAAAAAGTCCGGGAGCCTCTGGCCTAACCTATCCGCCTGTAGCCTTTTCTTCCCGGCATTCAGTGAGCCCTTCCTCCCGGTGGGTCCCCCGTGTAGTTGCGATGTAGTTCTTATCAAAGCCCTCCTGTCTTGTTGTGACAGCTCTGATATTGTTTATTGAGGTGGATGTCAGCTTTAATTAGCAATCGATACGGGGAGCGTTTGCAGAGCGCGTCTCTGACGTCAGAGTCCATTACCGCTTCTCATTGGGTCTCATATTCCCAGAGCCTGGGCTAATTATTGGGAGGTTCATGTGGATAAAGTACAGCTCATCCCTCCCTTCACATCATGTCCCCTACTCGTTGGCCACACTCACTGCATGCTTTTTAAATTCCCATCACCGGCCTCCAGACGTCGTTTCCTTTTGCCTGCGGGATGATGGACAGCAGGATACTGGATCCACCTCACGCCCAGTTCGGAGGCTCTCTCGGCGGGATGGTGGGCTTCCCGTACCATCTGAGCCACCATCACGTTTACGAATTAGCCGGGCATCAACTTCAATCTGCGTCCGCGGTTCCTTTCTCAATAGACGGATTACTAAATGGTTCCTGCACGGCTTCAGTGGGTAATTCCAACCCCCTCTTGTCTTCGGGCTGCGGGATGAATGGAGATAATCAGCACTACAAACTGTCAGGTAAGCCACAATACATAGCATACTACAAAATAACCTCTTCAGGTTGGCTGCTTGCACAAAGACATAAACAGAGAGAAACAAAGGCAGGATATTGCGATACAAGTTATCCTCTTGGTGGTGTGTTTAAAGGGCAAAGCCAAACCACACACACACACACACACACACACACACACAGGCAGAGGAGTATTCTTCGCCTCCCACTTCATTTTCATCACCGAAAAGCTGAAGATGCGCCGAAGCAAAGACAATGTTTCTGTCAGTCAGTAAACACTAGAGCAAGGAAATGCCCGTGTTAACATGTGGAGGTTTCATCTTAATTCAGAAAAGGCGACAGATTTGATAGAAGCTGCAGGCTCGCATGTGTGTACACAGCAAAATGTCAAATGCAGTCATCCTCTTCAGCTCTAAAGTTTGCAGAATCCGTTACATATGCATGAAAGCAGTCTTGTTAGAATTGTGTTAAAATGTGGTCATTTAAAAAATATGTAGTTATCCATTGTTTACATGTATTCTCATTCTGCTGTCAGACTCGGGGGACCCAGACAAAGATAGCCCTGGTTGCAAGAGACGGAGAACTCGCACAAATTTCACTGGTTGGCAGCTGGAGGAATTAGAAAAGGCTTTTAATGAGAGCCACTATCCCGACGTTTTCATGAGGGAGGCACTGGCTCTCCGACTGGACTTGATAGAATCAAGGGTTCAGGTAAATATTCATTCTGTTCCTTTATATGTTTTGTTTTGTTTCTTATTAATTCAAGCTCAGTATTTCAATCATATGGTCCAAAGTGCAGAAAACAAATTGTAGAAATAATAGCATGGGTTAATTTGGGGTCATAATATATCCTAGCCTACCTCGTAATATTTAAAACAAATAATAATTAAAAGGACCCCCGGATGGATGTGTGTTGTTTGACCTTTCATGGCTTATATTAGTGTCATAAATCAATTTTAATGACAACTTTATTTTGAAAAATAATGGACCCTTTAATAATTGTCTTCTTTGTATTTTTTTGACTATATTATTTTGTCATGAATTTTGGCGTTATTTGTCAAATATAGGCTATCGACAGCCTTGAATAAACAAAGACCAGAAATATTCAGTGTATAGTCCCCAACCTCAATTAGGTGAATTGCGTGAATTAATATACCAGCCTATTTTATTTTATTATGAGAATATTTTTGTTGATAAAAACAGCGAGTTTTAAGTTAAGGTTAAGTGTCATTGCGGAGTTTACATAGGAAGAAAAATAATTAAGACCTGACCTATGCCTGTAAATGTAAAGCTTATTCTGTTAGGCTTCAATCTAACTTTTTGTAGCCTTGTCTGTGCAAAGATTGGTTTTTAATCAAAGGCCTAATAACAGGCCTGCATAGAAAATAGCAAGAGATCAGGACCTCACTATTTGTTTAATTATCATATTGTTCAAACATTGGCCATTTTTGCCCATAATTATTTGACCCCTGCAGTGACAGAAGTGCACATTACATGTGTTTTCTCTTTTTATTCTCTGCAGGTATGGTTTCAGAATCGCAGAGCCAAATGGAGAAAAAAGGAGAACACAAAGAAAGGTCCGGGTAGACCTGCTCACAACGCCCACCCCACCACCTGCAGCGGGGAGCCCATGGACCCCGAGGAGATCGCCCGGAGAGAGCTGGACAGGCTGGAGAAGAAGAAGCGAAAGCAGGAGCGACGGCTGCTCAAGTCCCAGAACAAGCTCCTGTCTGGGGATTTATTTCACACCCCGGGATCGGACAGCGACAGCGGGGTGTCGCATGTGACCGACAGTGACCACAACACAGGCCCACCTTATGACTCTGTGGGGGGGCCAAACCAAACGCAATCGAGCTGCGACCAAACACCTCACCCTCTCCAGTCCCCAAACCAGAACCAAAGACACTTGGACCAGGATGCTGGCGGATCCGAGCTGGACTCGCCCGACGCCAGCCACCGGTCAAGCTTGTGCTCCAGCAACAACAGAGCCTCCGGCGTGCAGAAACTCAACCCTTTTAGCGTCGAAAGCCTCCTTTCGGACGCAAGACCGAGACGCAACCCCGCGGCCTTACCCTCCTCACGGCCTTTGATAGGGAAAGGACACTTCCTACTCTATCCCATCACACAGCCGCTTGGATTCATTGTTCCTCAAACTGCTCTGAAGACAACATCAGCAGCAAACTGTGACAGTGACACCCCGGCGGAGAGAAACCAGTCCACCGTCCGCTGCAGCGTCTCAGCGAGCTCTGCGGGATGTAGGAGCAGCTCGCCGGACTCTGCAGACGCACAAAAGGGACCTGTGGGATCAGAGGAAAAGACACGTTCATCACCGCACACCAGCCCGTCTAGGGCCGCCTTTCCCTCTGGCAAAAGTACTCAGACCTCTGTTATTTGCAGCGATTCGACTTTCGCCCACGAACACAGTCCACAACTCATTAAGCCTGTCGATGCAGACAGAAAAGAGCATTTAGAGAACAAGGACCACCCTGTCAACTCCGAGTCTGTACTCAGTGACAGTCCAGCAGACACAAAGACAGACTCTAAAGAAGATGTCGACTTGGAATAAATCCTTGGGGGTAAAAAAAGCAGAAACATACTGATATAGCCTCTAAACGACACCTTTCATTAGGCCAAAGCTTAACCAGACACTACATCTTTGCATCTAATCTCTAGGTTTCCCCACTCTGCTGATATTTTGACAATGGTGTTGCCTCTCTCTTCTCTCGTCTCTCTTTCTCTCTCTCTTCCTCTCTCCTTCTCTCTCTCTCTCTCTCTTTCTTTCTCTCTCTCTCTGCGAGTGTGTCTGTGTGTGTGAGTCAGGAGTCTCTAGATATCCTTTAATGTGTGATAACTTGTCAAAAAAAAACAAACAAACAACACAAGACCACGAGACCAACAAAAATCCTCAAGAGCTGTAAAAAAGGTATTATACTATTTATATATGTAAGTTTTTTCTTAAATAAATCTATTGTATACAAGCACCTCAAACCGTGTGAGACCTTAAATAGCAGCACATACAGTGCAGGACTACAGTACAGTAGGAAGGGCTTTCTTAAGAAATCTCATGTTGTACTTTGTATATTGCCTTAACAAATTTATTCATCTATAAGCCCCCACTGAAATGAGGTTACGAGCCTGAGGCGAAAAGGACCCGCTCGACTCCTGCAGAGTTTTGATATGAAAGTAATTATTTTCCCGGTGGCTACTGCAGGGGGATTCAGTTTATTTTAGCTCAAAGGGGGTTATAATACATTACCGATTTCTAGTGATATGAAATCACATAAACTTCCAAGAATAATAGAATTAGCATGAAAAGGCCTGGGTGTCAAATTGAAATAGGAAAATAATAGCCCCGGCAGCTGGGAGTGTGTGTGTTTGTGCATATTGGATAGGAGATGGGGATTCGTGGGGAGGCATTTTCATGAGCTTTTTTCCCTCCTTCTTCTTCTCCCTCTCTCTCCACTTTGTCAGGGCCCCTTGTAGCAGGGCTATATTAAGATAGATGTTCGATGATATCCCTCATTGTTCTGTCGCTTTACATTGATGTTTCTGTGTTATCAGCCTATTGATCATGCGTCGGCTGTAATAGGACGGGCTGAGGCAAACGTGCCTATTTACAATAGCAGAACACATTTGTTCTAATAGGGTTGGTGGTCCCCAGGGAAGCCATGCGGGATCTGGGACATCTGCTCCCTTTTGCAATATTAGCAGTGTTGACCACAATATCACGTCGACCCAAAGGAAGAGACGTCGAAGCTGCTGTGTGGCGTCTAATAGCATAAAAAAATAAGACAAAAACAACACCAAAATAAAGCATCGAGTCCAGCTATAGCTGCTGATACCCTTGTTAAAACCCACAAGCCCGTTAGTGTTCTCTTTGGGTCTTGATTTGCAAATAAATTGAAAATAATCAGAGGGGTGAGCTTTACGTCTGAGCCGGCGCAAATGAATTTCTGAGCCAGTGTCCCTTTCAAAATATTTACATAAATTTCAACCCATGCAGCTGTTTGCTCTAGGAAGCAATGTCTTATTAGGTTGGTGGGGGGCAGGGGCAGACACAGCCAACATGGCACACACAGTGAACATGCAGAAGATTAGGTCTGCATAGGCTGTGATTTAGAGGTGTAACCTCTGTGTCTGCATGCTGCTTATAGTGCTGGCATTATACATACTTCAGTGTACTTCATGGTGTTTTCTCACTTTTTAATCATTCATTTCTTTTCTCTTCCATGATATCACTATAACTTTTTTGCTAATAATCCAGCCACCAGTGAGTTCACAGGCATTTTTGAACCTCCTGAAAAGAAAAGACTTGTGGTTTTTGCAGTGTTTTCATTATATTATATTATACGGTTACAGTCGCCTAAAAGGTGTAAATTGGGAATACTCTGACACAATTCGAGACGTAAAATGATACATTCATAGGTTGTCAATTCTTTAAAAACACAGAGATACAGGGTTTATGCAGGATGCTAAACTGTGGGATAACCGGGGCCAATTTGAAATAACCCAGGATTCTTCGGTGTGTATTTTTCCATGTTACTCTTAGGCTATTTGGGACGTATGCCCAGTTCATCCATAATTCATTAGCACACTGAATAGGAGTATCGCTGGCTGCACATTGGTGGCCTTAAGGTGAAATTAGCGATTTGCTTAAGTAGTTAAGCTTTTCTTGCCTGAGAGCTGCACGCTGCATGATTCAAGACAAACTATCAATCGATATGCCCAGGCAGCCTCCAGGAGATGTGTCGTCCATGAATCATACTTTATGAATTCAATTTATACCCGGAGAAATTTTCAATTTGAACGCCGGATCATTATGGGAGAGTGTAAATTGTTTTTGCTCTATTATGCATCGGACGCCATCATTTTTCTTTCTAATTACGGAGGTGTCAGGTCGGGCTGTCATGCAGACGCTGATTTTCAATTTAACTGATCATCATGCATTCATTTTCCCATTTGATAAATCTGCTATCTCGAAGCTTCTCCATGCCCGGAATGCTAAAAGAGAGGCACAGATTGGCAAAGTAATAGGGGCCTGTATGCGGCAATAAGTGCAGATCAGGCAGCTAATTTAGCACCTCCTGGTATTTCCATTTCCATTTCTCATTTCCAACTCTCAAAGGAGGAAAAGCAGCCCAAAGGCAGAAAGCTGGTAGGCTTTTCACTATCGGAGAAAGACAGAGAAAAAAATCTACCAAAACGGCTTGTTTTCAACCACACATTTCCTAAATTAGGATATCAAGCTTAATTAAGGCTAATAGAGTTTTCTCAGTATGTGTTAGTTTTATTTAATAGAAACAAATTTGCACAATTAATTATGGCTATGATATTAAGGGTCTCATTTGCAGAATCCGAGCTGCAGCCGAAATCAGCGTCTTCAGAAATAAGCCTCTCATTTCCAAACCAAATGACTAACCAAATGTTTTTATACCAGCTTCTATCACAGACATCATTGCGGTTTATTGCCCATATTATATAAAACTAAACCAAGTCAGATTAGACAGAAATTGATGTCATTTACTGCGCTGGGTGAGTGAAATAAATGTGCTTTTTACTGCTATTGCAGAATTTGTTTAATATTTTGCATTTTGCATTTTAGACTTTTTTGAACATTTGTAAGACCTTAACCTCATAACACCTTACACAAGACAAAAAATAATGTTTTCTCTTCACGTGGGGTATTAATTTGAGCTACTGCATTATTGCTCTACCCACACACCTAATTTGACACGAATGACTTTCCAAATAACTGTGACAGGGAAGGATTTTACAAGTTTCATGCTCAAATCAACTGAAATGGACAAGCTGTGTTCTCGCCACAAATCCGTCTGTCTGTACAGGCTACTCTTGTGCGCTTTGTGTTGCTGTATGAGATCTTAGAGGCTTGGATAAGAAAGAACCGTGTCACTTTAAAAAGGATCCTCCATAAAATAAAATGGCACTTGACATTTGGCTTCTCCTGCAGCAACTCTGCTATGCCTTTTAGGATTATTTTACATCTACATACTCATTAATGCGCCGGTGGATTTAATCATTCTTATCTTTCCTGTGCATACCTGGGATAAGCCTGAAATTACCATCTGCATTGATTTCCGGACGATCCTTAAAATAATTTTAATTATCTGGGAGTATTTCGCGAAAAATCCCTGCAATCAAAATTTAGTTAATAACACTTGAACATTGGCAGCTCAGGTTTATGTGTGCTGCTAACGCGAAAATAACATAACTCAAATTTAAGTGAATTTAAAGATTTATTAAAATTGTTCATAATGTTAACTAAATAAGATTAATTGAACATAAGACCCATTTAAGCATCTGCACATTTTTAAAAAAATCCATAACTAAGTATTAAATAGGTATTTTTACTAATTTTACATTGTATGCCAAAGTTATTATCCACTGTGGATAGCTGACATAAAAAGAGGGTCAAAATGTCACAACTGTATGTTATAGCAACACACCTCCTGTGGTGTTTTCTTTCTTGAATTTATTGACATTTAAAAGTAATGGTATCCAGATCTTTGTGTAGTGAGTCAATCTACAAGACTTAAAATGATTCAGACACATTGCGTATTCCTGAAAAATACATACAATGAAAATGGAAAAAAAGAGAAAAGGATGCTCTTTTTTATTGTGCGATGTTGGTCTGCATTGAGTGATCAGTCTTTTCATTCTTTGTCTCAGATTTAGTGATATAGTGACATGATATGCAAATTGTCATGACAATATAAATGTCAGGTTCCTGCTAAATAAGGTATTTCAAATTACCTTCCACAGAAAGGTACTATAAATCCAACAAATACAAACAAATATAACAATACAATGCATTTCACACTCAAAACATGAAGGCTGGAATGTTAGACCATTAGTTAGACAGAAACATTCAGTCATATTACTTGTGGTGTGAGAAAGGTGACCTAAAGGACAAAATAGAAAATAGAAAAGTTTTGAGGAAACCATTGGAGAACACATTTGGTGTATAAATTCTGTAAAGTTATAATAATAAAAGATAAATATTTGCAAAAGGGCAAACATCCACTGTTCTATATTTTAACATGTTTTGTTTCTCCTACATGTGAGGCCCTACAAAACATAAATTTAATGTAAAAGTTTAAGAACTATTGCTATAACAACAAATGAAAATAATACAAATGAGTATGTCTAGCAGTGACCTTTTTCACACTTTGAAGTTACATAATGGAGAAGAATGTGAAAGGTGTAGTCAGTTTTCTTAAGTGCAATAACACACCATTTCCCTCTTCCTTTTAAAAAATGTCTTCCTCATTAAATATTGCACATTTATGCATAATGTCGGCTCCATATTGTCTTGGAATAGCTGTAGGGAAGGATTAGATATTAGACTCCTCTTCACAATAAGAGCACTTGCATCCTTGTATGGTGATGTGAGAGGTGACAGGAATCTTTTCAGAATGGTCACACCTGTTACTATCTGTCTGGCCTCATTATCTAAAGTGACCTGTATTGTGCTTTTGGATTACACAACTCATAGGACAAAGAAAATATTAGAAAAAGCAGATGATGTGTTAAATTGTCTTGGTAAGG